GGGCTTAAGTGGAGAGGAAATGTTTTGAGAATGATGAGGGCAATGAATGTACAAATGCACTTTACTCAATTGATGTATGTATGGATTGTGATGAGAGTTGTATGAGCCCCTAGTAAAATGATTAGAAAAAAAAAAGTTATATGTTAAAAATAAAGGCCTTGGGATTTTTATGTGACTGTAAAGTAAATGTAAAAAAATCCAAAAACTTTTTTAAAGTTCCTGATATTCCGATATAAAAAACATTTCCTAAAAAAATAAAAAGTTTTCCTTCCTCATCAATTTGGAGAAATTTTTGTGTTTTTATTTCGTGCTGCCTGGTTATAGTTATTCTATTACTCAATGAAACCAGTTCACTTTGTGCTCCTAACAGAGTAAGAATTTTGTTCTTCGAAAGTGTGCAGACTCGGGAGAGACTGGAAGCAAATACGAAGGACGTGTATAAGCTCTGACTGAGGGCCCTAGGTGATTACTGACTTTCAATTCTACTCACAGTGGGGATTCGCACATTACAACCTGGCATTTAAGAAAGGACTCTTAAACGTCTTCAGTTTTGTTGTGCGGTTTTATATAAAGCTATTCATTCACACTTCCATTATTTATCCCTCCCTCACAAGTAAGGTAATAAAAGGAGCAAAAATGAAAAAGGATTGGCATTTGACTATCTCCTATTTCATTTGTGAATTTTCTTTTAAGTTCTTTTCTTAATCTAAGAACTAAAGCAAAGGATTAACAACTTCTTTTTGATCTATATGTTGACAATATCATATAGCTAATGTGTAAATCATAAATACCTAAATAATTCTCTGCAAACTTTCTTTGCTTAAATCCCTGGAGCCCCCTTTTTATCGTTTTATACTTAAATGTACTTTTTCTTTCTATTTTTTTTAAAAAGAACCCTTAGGATACTAAGATAACTTAATGAAGTCTGCTAAGAAAATACACAATTCACTTGTTAAATAAGGCGTGAAATAACTGGCCTCATCCTTTAAAATGTCCTAAATGCACACCTTTCCTACCTTCCCATCGTGAGATTGCTTCAAGCACTCATATTTCAGGAGCCTCATCTAGCAGTCGGATACCACTGATGACTGTGGTTAATAGCTATGAGCACAATGAATTTTACTGGGAAGTATCTGCATCTGTTAAGTATTTAATTCTTGCCATCCTCAGTTGGTTGTTTGAGACTTAATCTTTGAAATTTCTTAAATTTTAAAAAGTTTGTCCTTGATTCTGCTTCTTTGGAGACCACAAGACACTAAATAAGATGAACACATAACAGCCACGGATTTAACTGAAGCTGACTATGGAATATATGGTGCT